GCCAGTATTCCGGCCTAGAGAATTCCATGAACTATACAGTCCATAGGGTTCCAAGAGTCGGACACTACTGAGCGACCTTCACTGACTGTCCTCCCCCAGGGGATGCAGTACCAGAGCTCTCTGTAGCGGGCAGCAGGGCGCAGCGTGAGGAGGCTCAGACCACCTGGGCAAGAATCCCCTCTTTGCCCCTTAGCTGCCTAGTCACCTGGGCACATGGCTCAGCCTCAGTTTCCCCATCTGTAAAGTGGGAACCCACCTCCCAGGGGTGTTGTGAGACTCAGATGTGAAAGTTAATATAAAGTGCTCGGTGGCGAATCCAGCATGTGCACGGGACTCCCGGAGTTCAGCTCATCCTCATTATCGGGTTCATCTGAGAGGCCCACCTTTGTTACGAGGCACCTGCCTAGAGCTGAAGGAAAGCGGACCCACTGCAGCCTCAGATGCTCAGGGAGGCCCCTGCTAGCTGAAGCTCCCAGCCCCTCCACCCATCACCCTCCCCAGGAACAGCCACTTGCAGGTTGGAGTCACTCTTGCTAGACACCTCCAGAAACCAGCCCCATCCTCTGATGGGAGGGCCTGGCCCTTTCAGCACAAGTAATTCAATCAGTGGAAGGAACCTCACAGCAGAGGCACAGCTACTGACATTTAGCACGCCACACCCTCTTGGCAGCCTGCCTCTAGAACTAGCTCCAGCCAAATGTGTTTTGTTTTGTTTTCAAAAGGCAAATAAACAGGTCAGAAGCCAACCAGGAGAACCGGAAGCTGTCTCTGAAGGATAAGTTCCAAAGGATAAAGTTAGAGACTCGATTAAAGGAGATTTAATGAGTTAGAAAGAGATCAGAAACAGGACAGACCCAGGGCGTAAATCAAATATTAATCATCATAAAGGCAAGGCTTGCTAAGGCGTAAATCAACAGCACTGGGCCGACTTGCAAACATCTGCCTCTCTAAAGAGCTTCCAGAAATCCGGGGCTGAGATGGCAGGGGAAATGGGAGGTTGAAGGGGGCCACAGTCTCCATCAGCCAGAAGAACAGCATCCCTGGGAAACAAGGGGACTGTGTCGGCTGGCCCACTGCCCCTTGGAGCTTACATTCCCTGAAGGTGCTGGGTGGGACCCTGGAAAGGAGGAGCCCCACTCAGTCTCCCTGCTCTGCTGAACCTCCTTTGTGCCGGGCCATCCTAGATGATGACATGCATTGTCTCTAGCCAGCAATCCTCCTGTCATTGTACTCGTGCCGCCAAGCAAGCTGAGGCTCAGTGGTGTGAGTTAGCAGTGGAGTCAGTCTTCCTACCTGGGCCCTTTGGTTAAAGGCCACCCTTCTCCCAGGACTCTACACTCTCCCCATCTCTCCCCAGGAAGTCTCTCCATCTGCCTTAAAGGGGAGAGTGACACATCCCTGTGGGTTGAAGAGGGGAGTCTTCCTCCCACCCTCATCAGCCTGTCCTGTCGCTGTTCTCAGTGCTGCCCATCAGCCTGTGCCTGCTCAGAGCACCAGCTCCTCACCCTCCAGGAGGGACCTGATCACCTCTAAGCAGGATGGGAGCAAGGCCCACCCACCTCCCCTTAGCATGGACCACTTCTGCATAGAAATCCCGCATCTGCTGACCTTGGTCAGTTCCCAGGTCCAGCTGGAGGTGCTGGAGGGCTGGGGCCCCGGACAGCTCCCTCACCTTCTAGCCACTGTATGACCCTCCCAGGGCAGCCCTAACAATGCCACAAACTGGAGGCTTTAGAGCAGCAGAAGTTTATCCTCTCACAGTCTGGAGCCAGAATGTCTGAGATCAAGGTGTGAGCAGGGCTGCCGCCCCCCTGGAGCCTCCAGGGGAGAATCCTTCCTGTCTCTTTCAGCGTCTGGTGGCTCCACTCATTCCTTGGCTCATGGCAGCATCATTCCATTCTCGGCCTCCATTTTCACGTGGCCGTCTTCCCTCCTCCCTCCATGTCTGTTCTCTTCTACTTTTAGGGACACCAGTTAGGGTTAGGGTCCACCCAAACACAGTAAAGGAAATCAAGCCTGAATATTCATTGGAAGGACTGATGCTGAAGCTGAAGCGCCGACTCTTTGGAAAAGACCCTGATGCTGGGAAGGATTGAAGACAGGAGGAGAAGGGGACGACAGAGGATGAGATGGTTGGATGGCATCACTGACTCAATGGACATGAGTTTGAGCAAACTCTGGGAAATCGTGAAGGGCAGAAGCTTGGTGTGCTGCAGTCCACAGGGTCTCAAGGAGTCGGACACGACCGAGCAACTGAACAACAACAGATCCAGTATGCCTTGGTCTTATGTTGACTGTGTCGTATTTGCAAAAACCTTTCCAAAAAGGTCACATTCACAGGTGCAGGGTTAGGGCTTCAGCATGTCTCCTGGGGACCCAAGTCAAGCCCTGACAACTGGGAGGTGCGTCCTGGGCCACGTGGACTGTGCACTGGCAGCTTCAGCTTCATCGGGAGTTTGTCCGAGATGCAGGATTCAAGTTGCCCCAGACCTGCTGGGCCAGGATCTGCACCTCACAAGCCCCAGGGCCCCCCAGGATACCCTTCTGCACAGTGTGCAGAGGTCCCCAGGGAGACTGGGCCAGTGGTCACAACCACACCACCTTCTCAGCCCCATCATATCCCCTTCCCTGGAGTCCAACTCCCCACCAACAGCTCACAATCATATCCTTCTCTCAATGTCTGCTTCAGGAGACCCCACCTAAGAGAGGGGTTGAGGGCCCAGGACTATCTGCCTCAGAGATCCTGATCCTTTCTAGAAATCAGTGCCCACAGCTGCCGGCTCACCCAGAACACAAATCCTCAGGGGTTAACTCACTTCATCCCTGCCAGCGATGGATGGAAGAGAGAGGCTAGTGGGGCAGGGGTCCACTGCTGGGAAGCCCCTTTCAACTTCCAGCACGAAGCAAGCCTAGAGTGAAGGAGACGCTGGTGTGCAGCAAAGGCTCTTCCCCTCTTCCTGGCATCGACCATGACCCTTTCCACTGTCTCCCTGGCCCTCCCCGAACCTCACAGGATTCAGAGGGGGAATGGGCTCTGTGGTTGCATGGAAGCAGGTCCCCAGCCCCCAACTGGCCCCAGCTGACCAGTTTCTCTGGATTTTCTCAGGGACTTTTCTGGAAATGAGATCACCTGTACCAACTGCGGCTTTGAGCTCTCAGACCAAGGAAGACATGCAACGCTTCTGATCTTCCTTAAATTGCTCTGAGTTTACCACATGGGGCCAAGAAGCCCAATTCACTTTCTTCAGAACACACCTCCAGCCTCTTTTAAAATCTCCCAAAGAACAGGCTGACAGGACTGTCTCTGTTCCCATCAAACAAGGAAGTCTCTTCTTAATGGGAACAAAGCGTCTGCAGGCTCAGTGCAACAGTTTCTGTCTGAGCTGACTTTAAGGGGACCCAGCCCATCTCACTCTAATGGCTCACAGACTTGTTCTGAGAATGCATCTCAATGCCCGGAGATGTGGTGTTGCTGAAGTGTCCATGGCCTGGCTGTGGGATGTCCAGTCTCACCATGTGAGGACCTTGGCTGAGGGGCTCAGCCTCCATGAGAACCCAAGAGCCAGAGGCAAAGGGTTTGGGCACGTCCAGAGCAGACACCCAGATTCCAAAGAAGGAAGAGGAGTTGGACTCGATTCCCAACAGCCAGGATGAGTTTAATTCAACGAACACTTATTTGACACCTCTGATGGGCAGCTGGGGCTGGGGAGGTTCGCGTGTGTCCTCAGCATGGGCTCTGGAGTGAGAGCACCGGGCTCGGAGCCCAGCTCCGAGCCTGAGCCAGAACTCAGTGAGTGGTGTCACCTCTCAGTCTCAGTCTTTCTTTTTCTGAAAGCAGGAATAATAAGAATACCTACCCCTGAGGGTCACAGTGAGAATCAGAATTCATGACACACGTGTGGCTCAGCTGGTGAAGAATCTGCCTGCAATGCAGGAGACCTGGGTTCGATCCCTGGGTTGGGAAGATCCCCTGGAGAAGGGAAAGACTACCCATTCCAGTATTCTTGCCTGGAGAACTCCATGGACAGTATAATCCATGGGGTCGCAAAGAGTCAGACATGACTGAGCGACTTTCACTTTGACTTTCATGACATGTTAAGCACAGCAAATGGAAAAAAATAACCGAAACTGCAGAAGGACAGGCTGGACCAGAGAGGGGCTGCACTGGCCTCCATCACCGGGACATCTGAGGGTGGGGCCAACCTTGAGGGCTCTTTTTAAGATGTCACTGGATGCGTGTGTGTCTGTGTCCACCCTTCCTCACACACTCTGTCTCCCCGCCTCTCTTAGCGCCCCATTCCTCTGCATTGCTCCATTTTCAGATAAGTTCTCCCCACATGGCAGCAGGATGGCCCCCAGCAGACCAGGAGGTCCTGGCTTTTACTATGTTATGGCAGGTGAGGAAAGAGAGAGAATGAGAAAGAAAAAAAAGGGCATCTTTCCCCATTACTCCAGCAAAAATCCCAGAGGTGACTCTGATTGGTCCTGCTTAAGCCTTGGCTAAATATAAATAGAGCTGGTCTCAGCTAACACAAAAATGCAATACAGTTTATCTTTCATGCTCCCTTTATTTCTGCTTTTCAGCCATTTCTACTACTCCAGTCCCCATGACTGAGGGATAAAGTTCTGCAGTTGGCTGACTGGGAGCATGTGATGCAGGCTGGACAGATAAAGTGATCAGTCTCTGCCACAGTGTCACAGAGTAAATGCTTAGTAAACACTGACTGCTCCTTTGTTGCTCCACAGAGAGGGTGTGCAGGCACCCAGCCAGGAGCTCCCCACCATGACAACACCCACTGCTGAGCACCGCAGAAGTCCGGGACAGCACCTGGACTGCTCCCCTCCCAGCCTCCCCCTGCCCTCCCCCACCATCTCTGCACTTCCCCTCCCATCCCGCCCTCTTCTCTCCTCCTCTCCTCTCCCTTCCGCTCCCCTGAGACTGTACACTATCAGCTGGGGCTCCCTGGCCCACACAGCCCTCTGTCTTCTCTGTTGCCCAGCTGGTGAACATCTTCATCCACCCGACCCTGGCCCTGCCGGGGGACAGCAGCCCCTATTGTCTGCTTGTACATCAGAATCATCTTCTGGGAGGTCAGGTGCTGGTTGGTGTGTCGATGGCCCTTAGGTCTGTGCTAAGACTTCAAGTCAGAGGGACAGGACAGTGCCTGGGCTCTCACTGCCTGCAGAAACGAGTCTTTGAGGGCACTTCCCATAGAGAGCACAGACCTGGCTGCCCATCACCCTCACCCAGAAACATCATCAGAGCCCAAACACAGAAGAGCCAGGGAACTCCTGGAGAACCTGGTCTAAAGCCAAGGGTCCTGCCTGGAGGGTTGAGCAGTGGCTGGGGAAGAGGACCAGCCCCTACACTAAGCCTAGCAGGGACGTCACAGAAGGAACACAGATGTCACAGCTAACAGCTACCAGGAGAGGCTCCACCAGCGCTGGGGGACCACAGCCCCATGGCTCCCTCGGTACAGAGGTCAGGGCCCTGATGCACAAGCGCTGCACAGACTCTGACACATGGCTTCAGCCTCCATCAAAGGAGATGATGATGAGATCACTAGCATTCATTGAGCCAGGCTATGGGAAATGGTTTAGATGCACAAATGCATTTAACCTTCATCCAATGACCTTTATTCCCACTTCCTAGCACCAAGAGGTTAAACAAGGCACCCACAGCCCCACAGCCAGCAGACCAAGGCTGGAATTCAGCCCAGGCTTTGGACTCCAGGGCCTCTCCTCTGCCCACTGCCCACCGCCCACCACCCACCACCCAGGACAGCCCAAGAAGACAGCCAGCAGGGCTGGGGGACAGGCAGCTCTGTCCATGCAGAGGTAAGAGGGATCAGCATTCCAGGAGAAGGAAGCCTGCCAGGTGGAACCCTGCCAGGACCACAGGGACCCTGAGGCCCTGCCAACCTCGAAACTTGATGCCTTTGACAGGGGGACATCTGACACTCTCCTAACCTGCTCACCACTCTGTGTGGTCAGTGGGACTACAGTCTCCACTTTGCAGATGAGAAAACTGACGACCATCAGCTTTTACGTGATGAGCAGGATCCTGTCTGGCTCAGTTCTGCCCCTGATGACTGTCTGAGCACTGGACACTCTGCCCTGGGCACTCAGCCCCTCACCCAAGACTCCTTCTCCCACATCAGCCCCAGTGGAGTGATGGGAGTGTGTTGGGCTGTCCCCTGCAAGGGTTTGGGAGGAAGGGGCCCAGCTGGGAGGCAAGGGACAACCTCTCCCTTTCATGTCCGTCTCTTTTCTGCACATCAGTCAGGGGAAAGGAGAAGAGCTTGCAGTGAGCATGAATCTGGCCAGTGAAGTGCCGGAGACACTGCCTCATTTGCCCCCTCTGTTCCCTGGTGCTTCAACTCTGCCAGGCGACAAGCCACTGAAAGCGACATGAGACTCACGCTTCACTTGCAGTCTGTACCCCTAGGTTTCAAAAGGGCTGGCTGGCGTCAGATCTGTGAATTGTTTAACAGGATTAATCCAACGTGCGAGTGCTCTCCTGCTGCCTTGTTCCTGACAAGATGAGCTCTGATTCGAAGGAGCGAAAGGGGCTGGAAATCCAGGGATCCCCGCTCCCACGCATCCCCTGGAAGCTCCCACCAACCAGAGCTTCAGCCTGTTGTGTGTATTGCTGAGATGCTCTCAGGGACTGGGGGGCTGCTGGGACAGAGGCAAGACAGCCCTGCTGAAGGCAGCGGAGACTGAGAGCCCTGGTTCCCACCAGCAGTTCCCATTCACCCTGGCTTGCTGCCCTGCCCATCTGCCATCCCCCACCCATTCCGGTTTGTCCAAAAAGTCCAAGATCCAAGATCTGCTGGAGCTGCAAGACCCCAGGAGAGCTTCAAGCCTCAGATGCTACAGTAAATGTCAGAGGTGAAGGACTTGGATCCCAGGAGTAGAGGCAACAAGCTGGTGCTTACACTGAAAACAGAAGCGGGAGCCAGATGGCTTAGGTTCAAACCCCAGCTCTACCTCTTTCTATTGGAAAGCAGTCAAGCATCTTAACCTCTCCAGGCCTCTGTTTCATCATCTGTAAAATGAGGGCCTGATGCTGAAAGTGGGATCTGCATCCCAGGGGCTGTTGTGAGAATTAGATGAACTAGTCCAGGTCCAGACATTCAAGACAAGCATTCAAGCACACAGGATGTGCTGGATATTGTTGTTATTATTATATTATAGCTCTCAGATCATAGAATTATTATATGTTATGTTCAATTCTGTTCAGTCGTGTCCACCTCTTTAGAACCCCATGGACTGCAGCACTCCAGGCTACCCTGTCCATCACCAACTCCCAGAGCTTGCTCAAACTCATGTCCTTCAAGTCAGTGATGCCATCCCACCATCTCATCCTCTGTTGCCCCCTTCTCCTCCTGCCTTCAATCTTTCCCAGCATCCGGGTCTTTTCCAATAAGTCAGTTCTTTTCATCAGGTGGACAAATTATTCAAGTTTCAGCTTTAGCATAAGTCCTTCCAATGAATATTCAGAACTGTTTTCCTTTAGGTTTGACCGGCTGGATCTCCTTGCAGTCCAAGAGACTCTCAAGAGTCTTCTCCAACACTACAGTTCAAAAGCATCAATTCTTCAGCACTCAGTTTCCTTTCTGGTCAAACTCTCACATCCATACATGAATACTGGAAAAAAACCATAGTTTTGAATAGATGGACATTTGTTGGCAAAGTAATGTCTCTGCTTTTTAATACATGTCTAGATTAGTCATAGCTTTTCTTCCAAGGAGCAAGCCGTCTTTTAATTTCACGGCTGCAGTCACCATCTGCAGTGATTTTGGAGCCCAAAAAATAAAGTCTCTCACTGTTTCCATTGTTTCCCCATCTATTTTTCATGAAGTGATGGGACCGGCTGCCATGATCTTAGTTTGTTGAATGTTGAGCTTTAAGCCAACTTTTTCACTCTCCTCTTTCACTTTCATCAACTAAAGAGGCTCTTTAGTTCTTCGCTTTATGCCATAAAGGTGGTATCATCTGCATATCTGAGGTTATTGATATCTCTCCCAGCGATCTTGATTCCAGCTTATGCTTCATCCAGCCGGCATTTCTCGTAACATGCTCTGCATATAAGTTAAATAAGCAGGGTGACAATATACAGCCTTGAAGTACTCCTTTCCCAATTTGGAACCAGTCTGTTGTTCCATGTCCAGTTCTAACTGTTGCTTCTTAACCTGCATACAGATTTCTCAGGAGGCAGGTCAGATGGTCTGGTATTCCCATCTCTTGAAGAATTTTCCACAGTTTGCTGTGATTCACACAGTCAAAGGCTTTGGTGTAGTCAATAAAGCAAAAGTTGATGTTTTTCTGGAACTCTCTTGCTTTTTCTATGGTCCAGTGGATGTTGGCAATTTGATCTCTGGTTCCTGTGCCTTCTCTAAATTCAGCTTTTATCACATAAATTGATTGCTGTTTTTGTTCAGTCACTAAGTTGAGTCCGACTCCATGGTTGCAAAGAGCTCTTTGCGTGACTGCAGTACACCCATCTCCTCTGTCCTCCACTATCTCCCAGAGTTTGCTCAAATATATGTCCAATGAGTCTGTGATACTATCTAACCAACTCATCCTCTCCCACCCCATTTATGATATTGTTGGACTGCAAAGAGATCAAACCAGCCAATCTTAAGGGAAATTAACCCTGAATATTCTTTGGAAGGACTGATGCTGAAGCTGAAGCTCCAATACTTTGTTCACCTGATGTGAAGAGCCAACTCATTGGAAAAGAGCCTGATGCTGGGAAAGCTTGAAGGCAATAGAAGAAGAAGGTGGCAGAGGATGAGATGGTTAGGTATCATCACTGACTCAATGGACATGAGTTTGAGCAAACTCTGGGAGATAGTGGAGGACAAAGGAGCTTGGCATGCTACAGTCCATGGGGTCACAAAGATTCAGACGACTTAGCAATTGAACAACAGCAAAAACAGATGATTATTATTATTATTATTGCCAAGTGATAGGCAGTAGACTAAACTTTTAACATGAATCATCATCTCCTTTAGTCCTCCCAACCACTCTCTAAGGCTGAAAGCATTTATCCATTGTACAAATGAAGACCAGAGACTCTAAAAGTCAGGTGATTTGACCATGATTCCACAGTGAGCAGTCAGCCAACCTAGATTCCAAACATAGGCCACTGGACTCAAGAGTGACTTGACTTAATCCCAATTCTACAAGGGTCGAAAGCTCAAATCCCAGAGTACACCGTGTAAAAGACTGAGAAAAATTATATGGCAAACAGACACATGGGCTTAGCATTGCAGATGCTATAGGGAATGGTAGTGACTGTGGCAAACCACGGGGTGTGTCCAGGTGAAGGGGGCAGCTGCTTCCCAAGTCCAGGAGATCGGGACCATGGGGGAACATAGGCTAAGTGTGGCCAGACTTTCCTGTTTTTCCAAAGAAATATAGACTTCAATTTGATTTTTAACTGTTGGAAAATTATTTAATATTTTTTTAACACAGGATGACCCAAAATATATATATTGTTTAAAAACTCTCTAAGGGCCAGATTTTACATGCAATGCCCCAACCTGGGGTCCCTGAATCTGTAGGGCCCTCACCTCTCTACAGGCTCATACAAGGGGCACTGGGCTCCAGTCCTCTGACCTCCCCTAGCGCCCTGTCCTTTCAGCCAGCCCAGTTTTTCCTGGCAGGAAGAAGCAGGCCTGAGCTACAGGCCTGGGCTGGACCACAGGGCACAGCTCAGCTGTGCACCCCAAATCACCATCCCCCAAGCTTCCTGCCGGAGCAGTGCCTTCCCCAAGCCTGGCCCACCCCCACAGACCACAGAGCCAACCAGGGCAGACAGGGTGGGCAGCAGCCTCTCCAGGGGAGGAGCCTTCGGGAGCAGCTCGTCCACTCCAGGACCTTGGGTCCTGCTCAGTGTCGGCTGGATAAACGGCACCTCGAAGTTCTGGAAACATTCCAGGGACTCACAGAGAAGAGGTCTCTACCGAGGCCCCGAGCGCCTATGTTTTGATTCCTGGCTCATGCCAGGGCTTCCTCTGGTCTCTCGTGGGTCCACCTGTGTCTCATGCATCAAAGTACCTCCTGGCCCCCAGGGCTGGGCAGTGTGTCTGGTGGAGAAACAAAGGAGCAGGAGGAAACACAGAAAGACAAAAGGAACAGGAGGGCCAGAGGCAAAGTGGGGCTGCACGTGCAGGATGGAGGGGAACACGACCCCAGACCCTCCCTCTGCAGCCGGCAGGCCCTCGTAGGCTTGGCTCACCAGCCCCAGGCAGGGAACACAATGGCCTCTAGTGAAAGCACAGCCTGGGACACATCAGGGTCATTTCCCCAGGGTGACTTTGAGTCCAGTCCAGAAAAGATGGCCCTCCCCAAAGACCTAGGACATGCCCCCCCATCTACCAAGCCCACCCTCAGTGGCAAACCACAGTTTTGTTTTCCTAAACCAGCTTGAATTTCCAAACCCATCTCCTGAGTACTGACCATTTGGCAAGTGCATTTAGGTCAATCACAAAATAATTTCCATGAAGTTAGTGATCTCAGGTGGACTCGGCCTGCAGCAGCTTGAAGCGGGGCTTCAGTTTCCAGCCAGAGACTGAGGTCAGGCAGTTAGAGCACCAAATCCAAGCCACTGGAGCAGTGGTCAGTGACAAGACCCTGGCTCTTTCACTTTGCAGAAAAGAATTCCCACAGAGATGGGAAGTGGTGAAACAAGTAAAGCATTTATTAAGAAGAAAAAGAATACCGTACATATGGACAGACATACAAATAGGCTCAGAGAGCCCCACCCTCATGGTAATTTAAATCACTTTTAAGGGGCATTTCTTCCAGGTTTCTTTTTGCCAATCATATTCCTTTGCCTGGTTCTGAGTCTGTATTTGGGACTTCCCAGGTGGCACTGGGAACCCACCTGCCAATGCAAGAGATCCGGGAGACACTGGTTTGATGCCTGGGTCGGGAAGACCCCCTGGAGAAGGAAATGGAAACCCATTCCAGTATTCTTGCGAGGAACCTGGTGGGCTACAATCCATAGGGTTGCAAAGAGTCAGACATGACTTAGTGACTGAGCCCGCATGCAAGAGTCCATATTTGGTTTATCTTAGGCTCCTTCCATGTGTGAGCTCTCATCTCTCAACCAAGATGGATTCTAGCAAGGAGGCCTATGGTTAGTTGCATCACTTACTATGGGGTGATGCTCCCTGTCTTTTGACCTCTAAGGAGCCTTTCTTTGTGTCTGTAAACGGGAGGTCTTCTTAACTTGGAGAATGAGGGACATTTGGTCTCTTATCTCTCATCTGGGCCTGTCCACCCTCCTCCATCATCCTGCTTTTATGCAATTTTTGCCCACAGAGGAGAAACTGTTCAGCCTATCTCCTGCCTCACTAGGAAGGAAACCACAGCCGAGAGACTGGCTGGTGAACACCAGCTCTCTGCCCCAGGACAGAAGCAGAGAAGGGTCAGACCCCCATATCCTCTCCTTATAGAATTTACTACCAGAATTGATGACACTCGCTTGAAGAAGCCCAGAGGCCTCGTGAAGCCCAGCCCCTCTCCCCCCACAACACACTTCGCAGAGGCGCAGGCCCAGGGAAGGAAGGACCCTGCCAAGGTGACACAGAGGCATGCCACAGAGTACTCCCAGGGCCGGTCACCCCGAGTCCTGGGCCACAGAGCAGACGGGCTGGCCTCTGCCTCTGGGGTTGCACAGGAGAAGCCTGCTACTCTCCCAAAGAAAGCAGACCGGACTCCCAGAGACCATCCACAGGCCAGCCTGTCCCCTGCCCGTCGGATCCGACAGACACACTGCCTCATATCAAAGCCCATGAAAACACTGTGAACATTTCATACTTTGAAGCTCCCTTTGACTCTAAACCCAGGCCCGCAAAATACCTTTGCAGAAAAATAACCTCGATTTGTCATGGCACATTTTAACACATTTGTATGGTCCCTTGATCCAGCCTGGGCTGACAATAGCTCCCCGGTTTCACTTTAAATAAGAGCATTCACACGCAGACAAGAAGAATGGGGGTAAAATGGGCAATTACTTAAAAAAAAAAAATCACAAATACAAAGACAATTCGCTCTGCTGAGAATGGAGCCCGGCTTCCCGTGTGACAGATTCATAACCAGGCGGCTCTAACAGCGGATGACAGGCCCCCAACCTCCGAGGGAGAGAAGAGAATGAGGGTGAGGCGTCTGTGGAGCGGGAAATGGGATTTGAGGCCCTTAATTTGCAGGTCATTGGTTTTAATTTATCCCCAACGCCCTGTCACTAGGAGTTCCTACGTCTGGCCGCTGGGGAAGAGCAGGCAGGCCTGGATGTTGACGGGCAGTGGGGGTCTGGGGGAGGTGATCCAGGAAGCCACTGGTGGGAAGACTTGGCTGCAAGAGTTCAGGCACCTGGGGACCCTGGTTGGAGCTGGAAGTCTGTCTACAGCTGGCGGGGGGTGGGGTGCAGGTCCCCCTTCACTTCCGTTAGACCTCTAGTGCCTCCAGTCTAAAATCCATGAGGTCCAGACTGGCCCAGGATCCCAGGATCCTTTACCACCCCCCAGTTACTTCACAGGGAAAATAGCTGCCCTCAGCCCTCATGTGCAGAACGTGGACTCTCCCAGCGACCCCAGCAGGTAGACCCATCTCTGCTCCCATTTCTCAGAGCTCAGAGAGGGCCAAGGTTTGCCCCAAAAAGGGGCAAGAGCCAGCCCTCAAATGCATGTGAGCCCAGCTCCAAAACCAGTGTGGCCACTGGCTCAGGCCACCTCCCACCTTCACAGCCTGTGTATACAGGTAAGTGGGTGCCTTTCAACACACAGTGGGAGGGTGTGCAGCCTTCAGAAGGAAGGAGGTTTGGGCACCTGCTACAACGAGGGAGAACCTTGAGGACGTTATGCTAAGTGAGCTAACATGAAAGTGAAATTGCTCAGTCGGGTCCGACTCTGCGATCCCATGGACTGTAGCCTACCAGGCTCCTCAGTCCATAGAATTTTCCAGGCAAGAGTATTGGAGTGGGTTGCCATTTCCTTCTCCAGGGAATCTTCCCGACTCTGGGATCGAACCCAGATCTCCCGCATTCCAGGCAGACGCTTTACCATCTGAGCCAGCCGGGAAGCCCAAGTGAACTAAACCAGACCCAAAGAGTCAGATAACAGTATGATTCCACCAGTGTGAGGTCCCCAGGGGAGTCAAATTCACAGACACAAAAAGTAGAAGGGGCGGTGCCAGGAGCGGGTGGGAGTAGATGTTTAATGGGGACAGTGTTTCAGTTGGAGCAGATGAAAAACTCCTGGAGACCAACAGCAGTAATGGTTGCATAACAATATGAATGTGCTTAATGCCACAGAACTGCATCTCTAAAATGGTTAAAATGGTAAATTTTACATTGTGTCTTTTTTTGATTGGCATGTGGTTGCTTTACAATGTTGTGTTGACTTCTGCTATGCAACAAAGTGAATCAGCTATACCTATACATATACCCTCACTCTGGGATCTCTTTCTCACCCCCCCATCCCGTCCCCACCCCTCTAGGTCGTCAGAGATCACCAAGCTGAGTCCCCTGTGCCACTTCCCGCTAGTTATCTATTTTACCCATGGTAGTGTATATATGTCAGTGCTACCCTCCCAATTTGTCCCACCCTCCCCTTCCCAAACTGTGTGTACATGTTTGCTCTCTGCATCTTCATCTCTATTCCTGCCCTGCTGAGAAGTTCATCTGTACCGTTTTTCTAGATTACACATATGTATGTGAATACTCACTGGAAGGATTGATGCTAAAGCTGAAGCTCCAATACTTGGGCCACCTGATGCAAAGAGCTGACTCACTGGAAAAGACCTTGATGCTGGGAAATATTGAAGTCAGGAAGAGAAGCGGGCAACAGAGGATGAGATGGTTGGATGGCATCACCATCTCAATGGACATAAGTTTGAGAAAACTCTGGGAGATGGTGAAGGACAGGGAAGCCTGGTGTGCTGCAGTCCATGGAATTGGACATGACTGAGGGACTGAACAACAGCAGCAACAATATGAAGTTTATTTTTCTCTTTCTGATTTACTTCACTCTATATGACAGATTGTAGGTCCATCCACATCTCTAAAAATGAACCGATTTCATTCCTTTTTATGGCTGAGTAATATGCCATTGTATATATGTACCACATCTTCTTTATCCATTCATCTGTCTGTGGACATTTAGATTGCTTCCATGTCCCGGCTACTATAAATAGTGCTGGAACGAACACTGGGGTACAGTGTCCTTTTGCATTATGTTTTTCTTAGGCTATATGCCCAGGAGTGGGATTGCTAGGTCACATGGTAGTTCTATTTTTAGTTTTTAAGGAACCTCCATACTGTTCTCCAGAGTGCCTGGTTACATCCATTTTACCACTGACTTGGTCTCTTCCAGCCACTTTAACAAAACACCACAGACTGGGTCGCTTGTGAACAACACTCACTGACTTCTCATGGTTCTCGAGGCAGGAAGTCCAAGAGCAGGGTGCCAGCAAGGCTAGGCTTTAGTGAAGGCCTGCTTCCAGGTTGCAGCTGGCCAGCTCCTCACGTCCTCACGTGTTGGGGAGGCAACAGAGCTCCTTGAGTTAGTCACTCAGCTGTGTCCAATTCTTTGTGACCCTATGGACAGCAGCCTGCCATCCTCCTCTGCCCCTAGAATTCTCCAGATAAGAACACTACAGTGGAAAGCCATTCCCTTTTCCAGGGGATCTTCCCAACCCAGGAATAGAACCCAGGTCTCTTGTATTGCAGGCAGATTTTTTACCATCTGAGCCACCTAGTAAGCACCAGGAGAGCTCCTTGGGGTCACTTTAATTAGAGCACTAATTCCAGTCTTGAGGGCACCATTCTCATGACCTAATCACCTTCCAGGGGCCTCACCCCCCAACACCATCACCCTGGGAGGCTGAGATTTCAGTAGAAGATTCTGGGGACACAAACATTCAGTCTGCAGCAGCCATAGAAAGAAGATGCATTGCATAGCCTGACATGTCTCCCTGCACTGCTTCCCTTCCACTCAGTCTCACTAAAGAGTCATTTCATAAGCAGGATGCTCTGCCGGGCACGAGGGCTGGAGATGAAATATGGTTTCTACCCAGAGAGACCAGAGGCCCAGTGAGGGAGAAAAGGCTGGAAAACTCATAGCCCCTCACTGTGCCCACAGGTACATGGCTCCATGCAGGGACACCAGGCTGGGAGCCTGGCCGGTGTCCGGGAAGAGCCATGAGGGCCACAGGGCATCCTCCCCAGCAGGAAGGGTCTGCTCAGACTTTCCACTGTTAATAAAAAGTGGAGCACTCAAACATGAACACTTTCTCGCCCTTCATCCCAGAGCCATCCAAGGCCACGTGCAGAAGCTGAAGGTGCGCTGACACATACCTGCCCATCAGGTACTCTGTTTCCATTTGGGTCTCCAGCAGAGTGAACCTGTGCTCTCAGCATGTGAAGAATGTGACGTTTACTCATCACCCCCCTGGCCATTCTTCACACTCCATCCACAGGGATGGTAGGGAGAGGTGGATGTGACCAGCGCCTCTGGCTCGCAGCACAAGATGGAGCCGGGACATCAACCCAAGTCTCGCTTCAAACCTCGCTTCAAAAGTCATCCATCTCGAATTTATTAAATCTTGACCATGTCTCTTTGAGGTCTTTGTCATTTCCTATGCTCAGGCTTATTTTTTACTTTTGGCAACTTGTCGAATGAGCTTTCCATGGAGCTATTGTTTCATGTAAATAGAAGTCCCTCGGTCTGGCTGTGATGGAGCACGCCTAATAGAATTGTTGTATAAAGATTCCATATCTGATTGTTGACAGCTTTCACCTTCAAAGAACCCATGCCATGAGGCCAGCCACACTGCTCAGCAGTGTCACCAGATAGACACACTGGATCACACAGTTGGTGCTTCTCCAGGAAGTCAGGACAAAGGCAAGGCTGATTCCCATGCCAACAACCTGGTGCCCCAGCAAGGAGGTTCTTACCTTTAAGACGCTTTCACATGAGTATGCCTTTGATGAACCTGATCCAAGGTGACCCACTGAAGTTGATCCCAGGATGGCCTGGTCCATCGGGGGGATCATTGAGCATTACACACAGCTCTGAATATCTCCATTAACTAACTGGTGCTGCAGGGCTGCAGACTCTGCAAGGCTTTAGTTAGAGGTGGGACACAGCAGCAGGCAGTCCAGACCATGGGTAGTTGGCAAGCTGACTGTGACGACCCTTTGATCATCAGCTCAGTGATCAAGTTTGGACAGTCAGCCATGACTGAGAAATCTCCCAAACACTGTCCTATAGATACAGCTGCCCACAAGGCAGATATCCCCTCTCTGGGAGGTGGCCCTGATCTATAAGGTGACCCTTGGCAGCTCATATATTCCACATGATCCCACCCCTGAGGGCAGCTCAGGAGCACATATCTGACCCAACTCGAGCTGATTGGATGGCCCCTCCTGGGATGGTTGGGTTGGAGCTGAGTGAAGAAATTGCCTGTCCAAGCAGCTAGTGGGTAACCCACAAGCTCGAGGGCCAGGGCAGCCACAAAGATGGAGGAGAAACCTGGGCCATGTAGTCAGGGAAGAACAAAGAGGAGAAGCAGAAGGGGGAGGAGAGGTGGAAGCTGCCAGTCCTGCCAAGCTGAGGTTGTTTTATGTCCCTCCCTGCGTTCCCAGGGATGTGCCCTGGGCTGGAGCAGCAGTGTTCTTGTCCAAGCTCTGTCATGCTGGCATCATTTCCATGGGGTCAGGAAGGTGAACCATCAAGGCAGGGCTGGTCCAGCCAGAGGAAATGGCAGGTGAGCCCAACTGTCAATTTCAATATGGAAAGCCTGTGAGTT